TGTGTGTGTGTGTGTGTGTGTGTGTGTGTGTGTGTGTGTGTGTGTGTGTGTTCATTTAATTCAGGTCAAAGTAAACTTGAACACTACATTTGGACCTTATTTGACATATCACGTACATTCGAAGTCTCCACTCTCAGCGCGGGTCATCATGACGTCAGTCGAGAAAGACGCTTTATTAACTCTATCCGTACGCCCTGGGGTCATTTTGTACCCCCTCGGTTGTATTCTTCACATTTTAGAATACTTGTAGTACGAAGATCTCTTTGAAACTTTCAGTATTTCTCAAAAAATAATTTTGACAGACTGTTATGCAAAGCGTACGGATCGGATTGACGAGTAAATTTCCTCCTTGGAAAATGGTGGCACAGAGTTCCCCACGTCGTATGGATACGATAGTAAAACACGACGTACGAATAGGATTAAGTGGTGGCACAGAGATCCCCACATCGTATGGATACGATAGTAAAACGTGACGTACGGATAGGGTTAAACTTATCGCTACCTTAGAATTACAAAGCTCTATCTGACACGTTTGGCCGTTTTGAATTACGGTACTATATATATAAGACCGTGAGGTCAGAAACCAAATGTTCGATCTGCTCTATCAAAATCGTAATATGATTCAAAGTCGTTATCAAGATGTTCAAAGAACTGCGCTAAAAAAAAGAACCTTGGCATGTTGTGAAACTCAATTTTCGTTTTACGTCAAATTTCTAAAAACAAGGTACATGTACTGAGCAGATAGAACTTTGTTATTCTGAGGTGGGCGTTATACAGTGTATTGGGGGCCCCCAATTCCAAGTAGAAATTTAATTCACCGTTACCCAACTTTGTTCTAGCTCGTGGCAGGAATTCATCCGTATTCGTAAGTCGCTGTTATGTCGTTCGTTACGGACTCAGCTTGCTGAGTAAAAGATCTGGGTTTGAATCTGGGTGGTTTTCAAATCAATCATTTTTGCTCAAACGCCCTTGGGTATTTATTCCTCTTACCTCGGTGTCCTTGGGAGGGAAAGAAGAGTTTTGTAGTCGACATGACAGCTTGTCTTTCGTAGCAACGACAAAACGGAACAAAACAACAGCAGCAATATCAACAACTACTACTACTACTACTACTACTACTACTACTACTACTACTACCACCACCACC